AGGTCGATGCAGTGGTTTGTGATCGTGTCGTTGGGAGGGAACAACATGACTTCAGACTTCTTTTCATTGAAACTTAAGAAATTTAAAGCCATCCAGTCCCTGATGTCAGCCAGGCAGTTGAGCAGAGGTTGAATAGAGCATGTACCATTGTGTCTTAGGGGGAAGTAAATTTGACAGTCATCGGCGTAGAAGTGGAAGGGCATGTTGTGTTTCCGGAAAATAGCACCAAGCGGCAGCAGGTATAAAGAGAATAGGAGGGGACCCAGGATGGACCCCTGCGGAACCCCCCATTTAAGCTCTGCCTCTGCGGAACTAAAATCCTTGATGGAGACACAAAAGGATCTGTCAGCGAGGTAAGATCTGAACCAATTTAGGGCTGATCCTGTGATGCCCACCCACTGCTCCAACCTAGCAATGAGGATCTCATGGTCCATGGTGTCAAAGCCGACAACTTTTCCTTCTTCGTTCTTCTGACAGTGCTAGCCAGCTGGCTGAAGAAAAAAATGGGAGCCGATTACTCGGTCTCATGGTAATTTATACGGACTGGGGGTGAGGCCCACACAGCAAGTGGGTGTGGACTAAAGTTTTCAGTGCTGTGCTGCGCGCCTTAGGGATAAACCCACTAGCGATATCCTTAAAGGGCGAAGCCTATATGAAATGGAACTAAGAAGTTTGGTGATTTTTAGAGATTTGACCTCAAAATGTTCATCCTAGTCTTGTAAGTTTTTTGCTCCCTAAACTTTACAGATTAATAACTCATCCACATTTCTGCATAAATTGTTTAGTTGAATTATTTTAGTGTACAGTTGTGTCTGCTAAGCCTTTTCTTTCTTGAAGTTTCCAGTCCAGCCTCGTTCTTACATTTTGTTGTTCTGTCTCCTCGTCCTCCCTCAGGAGCCGTTCTGGTGGCCCAGCCTCTGGACTATGAGACCTGCAAAGACTACTTCTTGACAGTAGAGGCTCGTGATGGCGGCACGCCAACTCTGAGTGCAGTTACCACGGTGAACATTAACCTGACAGACATCAACGACAACGTGCCTGTGTTTAGCCGTGACCTTTACTCTGCAGTGCTGTCAGAAGATGCCACTGGTGGAGAGTTCGTTGTCCAGGTAGAGTCAAACAACACGGTCTCTGTTTAAAGCCTTTCACAAGGACTTTATCTTGCATTAGATAAAGTTTTTGATACGACAAGTAACTGCAAGTAATCCAGTTTTGTTAATTTAACCTTTCATTTAACAAAACGTTTCTTGATTCTAGATACATTTAATTTCAATCCAGTTTATTTCTACAGCTCCAAGTCACAACAGAAGTCGTCTCAGGGCACTGAACAGAAACATTCCTTTATAAAAATAATACGTTAACAAAAACATTCATAAAAAGAATAATAAAAATCAAACCTCTCTCCCCGGGTTCTTCAGAACAGGAGAGAGTCCAGTTCCTCTCTGGTGGTTTTGTTCAGGAGCACAACTATATGCAGTTGGGAACACTTGAGCTCCCAAACAAGCTTGAAGATGAAAAAACATCATAAGACTTGATGGTCCTTTGTAAATGCTACTTTCCTCTTCACGCCTTTGTGTTTTTGTTCCTGCAGCTGGAAGCAGAAGATGCTGATAGCCATCTGAATGGAGACATCCTCTACGCCGTTGTCAGCGGAGACCAGAAGAACCAGTTTTTCATTGACCCAATAAGTGGAGTGATCAAGGTCAACAAGAAACTGGACCGTGAAACAGTAAGGAGACCCACATGCACATGCATTTTTCTCTGCAAAAAGAAAGGTCCTGGTTTGAGTCGACATTTGGATCATTCTGTGACTGCTGCGTTTTGTGTTTATCGTCGTGGTGCTCTCTCTTTAACCAGAGACAATGTTTGGGTCATATTTCTTTAATAAACCAGTGATAGACTGATGACCTGACCTCGTACCATCAGACGTACAGGATGTGAAGCTCTGCACGACTGCTGGACTTGTATTCAGGAGGAGCAGTGTGGCCTTTTGTCCAGGTTGTGGAACAGATCTTCTTGGACATGTTGCTTGTTCTCAAAATGTCAGACGCTCGGTGGTTTGAGCTCTTTAGCATTTGTCACACAAAACTTTTAATAAAAAATCAGTAAACAAGTTCTCAGCTTTTTTTTTTTCAGAGAAAAACAACTTTTTACACGAAGGCACGAGTTTCGACCGTGAACTCTGGAGCTTCGACAAGACGGAGGTTTTTTCCCCGAGGTCGGCCTGTTAGCTTAGCTCGTAGGTTAGCTTCTCAGCTTTAGCTGCTTTTAACGATCCAAAAATGTGATTTTGGACGATTAAAACAGATTTTAAAGAGAAAAGAGAAAGTGAGGGGTCAGTGAAGAACCGAAGTTGAGTCTTTTGTCATTCAGTGTCTGTCCTAATCTGTCCTGTTCTGTCCTAATCTGTCCTCGTCTGTGATTTTTGTGCTGGTCCTTCTCTTGGTTCCTTTGTCTGTTCCCAGTGTTTTACCTCCATCGTGTGGTCCGTCCAAGTTCCTGCTCCCTCATTAACTTCCTGTTGTCTTCACCAGCCGTTCGTTTGTCTCGTCAGTGTCGGTGTATTTAAGTCCGTGCGTTCTGTTGTCATTCCTCATGGACCCTCCTGGTTCATGTCCTGCACTATGTCTTGGTGTTTGTCTCCCTTCATGACATTTTGTTTGTTCCTGTAAGTTTTGTTTATTTTTTCATTAAAAACTTTTTTCTTTACTCTTAACCTGAGTTGTCTGAGTCCTGCGGTCCTGGGTTCAAACCACCACATCCTTACATCTGTGGTGCATCGTTGCACCAAAAAGGTTTACTTGCATTTCCTGTTTAATTCCAGTCCAGAAAAACACTCATCGCTAAAACTACAAACATTCACTGTTCAGATCCCTCGGTGATGGAGGACACAGCCATGTCTTTGTTTAAATCTAAATTACTCACTTAATTTTTAAGTACCAGTAGAAGAGTTTTTATTTGGATCTGTTTGTTTGTAATTTAATTTTTTCAGGTTCCCCGCTACTCACTGACTGTCAGAGCGCTGGATTCTGGAAGTCCACCAATGTCCTCCACCACCATGGTCAACATCGAAATCTCTGATATCAACGACAACGCCCCCACCTTTTCCCCCTCCGACCTCACTGCTGTCATACAGGTACGCAGAAGACATCAGTCCAGGTAAAGTTAGTCTGGTGGACGCACGTCTGCAGGTGTAGTTTAATAGCATGGCACCAGCAACTCTGGAAAAGCTGCAAAATTAACTTATATTTTTCATAAAGTGAAAAATCAGAGTTTGAACACTGATCTGCAGATTGAGAGATAATCTGAGATTTTAACGTGCACGTATTAATGCTAGTACTCTGGTATCAGTAGGTCCACGTTCTGCTTCTGCAGTGCTCATAGTGCACGTGTCCTCACTGATTATCCATGGTGGCATTTTACAATAAACTGATCAGGACTGACGGTCTTAAAGTCATGTCTGACTGCGACTCTGCTCGACATCTAAGTTCTGAACTTTTCCTCTGACTGAAATCTCTCCTGGAGCTTCAGGACTTATCCCGGGACGACTCAGGGAACATGTTCTTATGACATGCAGGGAACCCTGTAGCAGACGAAGGAACCTCTGAATGTGTCTGGCAGACAGAAGATGAGGCGCAGTCAACAGGCTCCAACTGGAAACTAGACCGAAACACCTGCAACTGTTCTTCACTGGAACTGGTCTGTGGTTCAGCTGAGGTTCAGCTGTGGTTTGGCTGAGGTTCAGCTGAGTTTCACCTGTGGTTCATCTGAGGTTCAGCTGTGGTTCAACTGTGGTTCAACTGTGGTTCACCTGTGGTTCATCTGAGGTTCAGCTGTGGTTCAACTGTGGTTCAGCTGTGGTTCATCTGAGGTTCAGCTGTGGTTCAACTGTGGTTCAGCTGAGGTTCAGCTGTGGTTCAGCTGTGGTTCAGCTGTGGTTCAGCTGAGGTTCAGTCCACTCTCAGATGACCCTACAATGTTTGCAGTTTTATACATGTCTGTTGGTCCGTGGCTGCACACAGGTGTACAGACGGTACCTCCATTCTGATCCTGGTGAATCTGGAGCAGCAGACGTAGACATGGAACAAATAAATAAAATAAAGTAAGAACTATACATCCAGACAGAGCCCACGACAACAGAGGTTTTCAGTCCATGACTAAACGCTGCAGCTGAGTCGGTCTTTTACAGACACATCTGCAGTGAATCTGTCTGGACTCTGCTCTTCTAATCTTCTCCCATCCTCCCCCCGCAGGAAAACAAGCCGGTCGGCACCACCATCGTGCAGCTGTCAGTCATCGATCAGGACTCGTCTCGTAACGGCCCCCCCTTTCACTTCAGCATCCTGTCTGGAAATGAGGGGGGAGAGTTTGTGCTGGAAGAAGAGGGAACGCTTGTGGCCCGTCACGTGTTCAGGAGGAACATTGCAACTGAATACGCTCTTCAGATCCAGGTACGAAGGACGGGAGCGCTGAGGCTGCTGCCGAGCTTTCAGACAGGAGGAGGAGACTTCTGTCACTGACTCCAGAGACGCTTCGACGACGTCATGCTGTGGACATAAAAGTGCCTCTGGCCTGCTCCAACTGCAGACTGAGGTTTCTCAGAGAGCACTAGATGAATGACCTAAAGATCAGCAGCAGGTTTAACTTTTAATTCAGTTTCAGGAAGTGCTAATAGCAGCAGAAGCTAGCTGTACTCACTGGAGCCTGCAGAAACCAACCGTCATGATGACATCACGAGACGTAATGAGGTCATAGGTCAGCTGAGATGGAGAAGGTGCCTTGTAACATCTGAGAAGACACGTTCTCAAACAGACAGCATTCATTCTGGAAAATAACAGGAAGTCCTGTGGTCTCCAGTCCATCGCAGGGACACCTGGACAGGTCTCCAGTCTATCACAGAGACACCTGGACAGGTCTCCAGTCCATCGCAGGGACACCTGGACAGGTCTCCAGTCTATCACAGAGACATCTGGACAGGTCTCCAGTCCATCACAGGAACACCTGGACAGGTCTCCAGTCCATCACAGAGACACATAGAGACAAACGAGATAAACAACCATTCTCTGTCTCACTCTCCTAGAGACACTTTAGAGTTACCAGTAAACCTAACATGCATGTTTTTGGTCTGTGGGAGGAAACTGGAGACACCCCCCCCCCCCATGCAGATATTAGTACATTTTGTACTCGTCAGTTCTGCACTCTCTGTCTTTTTGTCTTTCCTTAACCGTGTTATATGTCCCGTGCAGGTGTCAGATTCGGGGAGGCCCCCTTTGTCCTCGTCTTCAGTTCTAACCGTTCGAGTGATCGAGGAGAGCCTTCACCGACCCGTGGCCTCGCCCCTGGACATTCACATCGTCACCATGGAGGACGAGTTTCCTGGCGGTGTGATTGGTCAGCTGCATGCCACTGATGCTGACCCGTACGATGCGCTGACGTTTGGACACGCCCCTCCGGCCCATCGCAGTCTGTTTAAGATCAGCCCCCACGATGGAAAGATCATTGCTCTTGGGGGGCTGGATGCTGGGGAATACTTTCTCAACGCCAGTGTTAGCGATGGCCGCTTCGTCGTGCCTGTGCCTGTACACGTGCGTGTGGAGCAAGCAACGCTTGAAATGCTTCGGGATGCAGTGACGGTGCGCTTTGAGAGCGTAGCCCCACAAGATTTTGTGTCTTTGTACCTGAAGAGTGTCCTGAAGGTGATGCAGCAGGCGGCCATGTCCCAGCAACATGACGCACTGCGCCTGCTCAGTCTTCAGCCCGTTGGTGGGACGCAGCAACTGGACCTGCTGGTCTGTGTGGAAACAGCCGGGGGCGGGTTCTACAAGGCTGCGTACCTCACTCAGAAGCTCAGCACGTCACGGAGAAAGCTGGAGGAAGTGCTCAGAGTGTCTGCCATCCTGGATAAAAACTGTTCGGGGCTGGAGTGTCGAGGGGCGCAGTGTGAGCAGAGTATCATCCTGGATTCTCACAACCTGGCAACGTACAACACTCCTCGTGTCAGCTTTGTGTCGCCGCGCTTCCACCGGAC